TGGGGTGCTGAAAATGTGCTATGGGTTGGTGTGAGGAGCTTTTCTTGAATATTTTAAAACACAGACATCGTGTTCCAGTGTTCATTTTGGTCTCTTATCCATTCAATGAATGAAATATATGAAAAAGATTGAAAATTTCCTTTTATTCTTAAATTGTTTTTAGATTTTATTAACTTATTATTTTATGATTATAGTTGTTTTGCCTGCATGTGTGTCTGTGTACCGCACATATGCAATGCCCACAGAGACCACAAGAGGACACTAGATTCTCTGAAACTGCAGTTGCAAAGGTTGTGAGCTGTCTTGTGGGTGCTGGAAATTGAAACTGGGTCCTCTAGAAAAACATCCAGTGCTCTTAACTGCTGAGCCATTTCTCCAGCTCTCCTTCAATTCTTATACAATCTGTAGATTTATATATTGGGCTGAGAGATGGCTCAGCTGCTGAAGGCTAGACTCACACCAACTGTCAGATGCATATAGTATTAGTCAGTTTTCCTAAGACATATTTCTGTACTTACTTAAATAAAATATGAGCTAAAAATATTTCTTGTTCTTTACACTGAAAAAGTAAACTTTCCTATGCCTGTATGAAGTTCCCATCTCAGTCTATCTTTTACTCTCTAGTTTAAAAATTCCTTGTTCTAAGAAATACAGACCTTTTACTTACAGCTCCATATTTCACTGTGCATCCGTTTTTTTACTTTACTCAAAGGCTTTCAAAATAAACATGGATGTCTGTGCCTAAATGTGTTTTCTTTTATCTGTTCTCATCTTCATTCAGTTTCTTCCCCACCACCTTCCTTCACTTCTGGTTTGTCAAAGCTCTTCTTCTTTGGGTCTTTCTTATACACCCTAGCTGTCTCTTTGCCTTTCTTTGGTATCTTGCAATGGAAACTCAGCCAGTGATTCTGTGTTGAGTGAGAAAAGCCAAGGAGCACTGGACACTTAACATCTGACTGGTGTAGGCAATATTCCATTTAGATTTTGCTTCTGTGTTTTAAGAAAAAAATAAAATTGGCATGAGAAAATTAAGTGGTCACCTTCTTAGATGTAATGGATGGAGCGAGGGTTCTGGAACTCAGCATTTGATGAGGTCAACTAAGGTCAACTGTGCCTGTCAGTCACCTTTGTAGAATTGTAAAAGTATGGATATGAGAAAACTCTAGTTTTCAACATTTTGAAAGTAATAAAGCCAGATGATTTAGTCCCAGAGCAGTAAACATAACATCTCCATAAGGAAAGAAGCAATGAGTGGATGAGTTGGAAGTGGATGCTTGAGCGTGTAGAAAGCAAAGTACATGGTTGCTAGTACCAGCTTTATGGAGATTGCCTTATCTCGTAGTCAGAAAAATACTGTTAACATAATCTATAGAGTAAAACATTTGACAGGGTCTTCAGGATACTTAGGATTATGCTAAAAATGTGGCCTGCAAGTCTTACACAAAACTATGTTTCCTTATTTAATGGCCTATTGAAAAACATTGTGCAATTACTACATGTTCATAGCAGATGTTTATGGCAGCTAAGGAATATTAATAACCCTTTGTCTGAGAGCACTTCTGTTATATTAACCAGCACTAACTAGTGCTTATTCCTTGCCTTTGTGCCTCAGATGCAGACTTAGAACTACATAGAATTTTTAATAAGTAATAAGTAGCATAGTTGGGGCTGGAGAGATGGCTCAGCGGTTAAGAGCACTGACTGTTCTTCCAGAGGTCCTGAGTTCAATTCCCAGCAACCACATGGTGACTCACAACCACCTTGAATGAGACCTGGTGCCCTCCGCTGGCATGCAGGCAGAAGACTGTATACGTAATAAATAAATAAATAAATAAATAAATAAATAAATAAATAAAATCTTTAAAAAAATAGTAGCATAGCAGTAGACTTATAGATTTATTTTATGTTACATACCTTATTCCATCAGATCTTATTTCGTAATTTAAAAAACCCTCCAATTAAGCATGTAGGTACTTTTTCTATCACATTGCAGTTGTGAGCATTCTTCTACCAATTGGTACCACAGTCTCCCTGCTTCTTAGCAGCTGTGTGCACATCAGGGTCCCACTCAGTCTGCATCTGAGAAGGGGTTTGGCTGACTGGCCGATGCTTCATCTGATAGGGTATTAACTAGCATGGAATCCTACTCTTCTGGAATTGCCAGCGTTGGGACTAGAGCAAAGTTGTAAACTAGGGCTTTGTGTTGCAGGTCTTTGTGTCATTTTGATTATCAGTGTGGGTTCTAGTCACTGTCTTTGGCAGAGAAGATGACAGTCATGTAGTTTTCTGGGACTGACTAAACTAATTTAAAAATAAAAACACTTTTTTGGGGTGCTACATGGATTTTGTTTTATTATTTGGTCTTTAAGCTAAGAATGATCTGCCCTCGGCTGGCATTTAACCCACTTCCCATATTCATAAGCAAAAACTCTCAAATGCCAGCCTTTTCAAGTTTGTGTTAACACTTGAAAGGATTTTGTAAATATTATAAAGTAGCTTGGTCATAGAAGAGACACGTGGGAACCCTGTTTATGTCACAGTTGCCGAGTGGTGTGCTCTGCTGTGTTTAAAGCAGCAGATACCCTTCACTCTGCTAATTGCCTCCCAGCTCACATCTTACCAACTCAGTAAGCACATTCAAGTGTCCAAAGCAACTGGTCTCACTGCTTGCACTGCAGCAGAGTATAAGGGGAGAGTGAAGATGCTGAGTCAGATTTGGGTTTGGATCTGGATCTGCTACTTGCTAGCCATGAACCCTTGAGCAAGTTCATCTCTGCTTCAGTTTTCTCACATAGTGAGATAATGAAATTACACGCCTGTTGTTAATGCTGTATGCACAGCATTTTGAATGGTGACTGACACGTGGTAATTACTTAATGAACGTTAGCAATTGTGACTATCGTTGTTGTTTGTCATTTACTAGTCTAATAACTTATGTGATATACCTCAGATTATAGAACTGATCTGCTGAAAAGTCTCTAGAATTCTTCAGTTAACTCAGAACAAAACCCCAAGTCCTCGTGTTGTGACCTATTCAGTTTCCTGGCCTCTTCCTGGGACGGCTGACCTTCTTGGGCCCTTGTTCAGAGAGAAGGTCTTGCTCTTTCTGGCACTGTTCTCTGCTTTGCACCATCCCACTCCCAGATTTTAAATTGTTTTTACCACTTTAATTTTCCTGTTTCTTTTCTTTTGTTTGAATCAAATAGGGTTGGATCAGGTTGGAATGCTGTTGATGGGATCCAGGGCCTTATAGGGTTGGAATGCTGCTGATGGGATCCAGGGCTTTATACATGCTAAGCAGTGCTCTGCCACATCTGTTTATTGTCTGTGTCATGTGGGTTCCAAGGCTGGAACTTGAGTCCTTTGGCTTGGCAGCCTTTACCCTCCAAGTCTTTCCCCAGGCCCTGCACAGTTCTGATGCTGGCAGTGTATTTAAAGGTTTATGATACCCATTCTCTCCCTCCAAGCACGGCATTGGATTTTTCTTAAAATATCCTAAAGAAGTGGATCTATAACTGTTTGGTATCAATTAAAACTTTCTATAAAGAACCACATGGTATGAGAATTCTAAGAGTAATAAACATGGTATCCCTCCCTCCACCCCCTAACAAAACAAAACGAAATAATAAGACTGTGGTGGCTAGGGCCATGTGAAAATATCACATCTCCATGTTCACAGCAACCCCATGCAGATCATAGTATCAGTCAGATAGGTCATTAAAGTGAATATTTGAAGAAAACAAAGCAGTCTTTTCTTTTCTTCTCTTTTTTTTGGGGGGGGTGGGGGAGACAGAATTTCTCTGTGAAACAGTCCTGGTTGTCCTGGAACTCACTCTGTAGACCAGGTTGGCTTCAAACTCACAGAGATCCATCTGCCTATGCCTCCCAAGTACTGGGATTAAAGATGTATGTCACCTCTGCCTGGCAAAGCCTTATTTTCAAGTTTTACAAAACTGTTTCATAATAATAGATAAAATATTTTATAGTTCTTGCAAATGAAATCTTTTTTCATGCTAATTTATATCAGTTTCATGGTAATCTGGCAATGTTGTAATAGAGCATTTAAAGAGACTCCTTGCTAACTAACCATTTTATTGCATCTTCCTTCGGTTCCTTACAATTCTGTGTTAATTATTTAAGATATAAAACTAAAATGGGCTAGAGAAATGGCTCTGTGGTTAAGTACACTGTTTAAGAAGACCCAACGTCAATCTCAGTGCTCATAACCATTTGTAACTCTACTTCTAGGGCATATGGTATTCTCTTCAGGATTCCAGGCACCAGGCATGCAAGTGGTACACATACATACATTCAGGCAAAACACACACAATTTTTTTTTTATTAAATAAATTACCTAATGTGGTTTTCATTCTTTCTAAATTTCTTTTCTTGCCTTTACATTTTTAAGTAGGATATTTTAGTTTTTCTTCTATTCAAGAGTATGTTTCTTTTAAACAATAGTTATACTGTGGAAAAACACCCAAGATATTAATAAATTGGGGAGAACTTTGGGACCTCAGTAAGTTATCAAGTGACTTTCAGCTTTCAACTTTGGTAGATCTGCTTGAAGCTGAAAGAGAAGACTTTACTGACTTCAAAACCATTTTAGTTGAGATGGATTAAAATGAAAGTAACATAATGTTAAGACTCAACCACTGACCAGTTCTGTTAGGAATGAGAGCGTTAGCTTTGCAAAGAAAGTGTGTGTCAGTGTCTTAAGCAAAAAGATTTAGATGTTAGATAGTCGCATGAACCTTGCCTATGAGGCAACAGGCTGTCTCCACTTGCACAGTGCCTACCTAGATTTTGAAGTTAGCTATATCTTAGTGTCATTTGCTCTAAGAATTGCTTCCTGTTAATCACCAACATTTTGCAGTATGAAAGTACATGTTTCCACATACACAAGGCAATCTGCAGTTGTTAATGTTAATAATGTGTCTCTTAGACTAGATACTTATCATTCCTATTTGTTTTACTTACACATTTATCTTTCCTTTTAGGTAAGGAGGATGAATATCCAAAGAAACCCTTGGGGCAGCTTCCTCCTGAGTCTAATTCTGCTTGTATTAATCAGTTGAGTAATGGACAAAGAAGTGTTGGCAGGCCCAGTCCCCAAAGCAACAGAAGAGAAAGTGGATCACCTCACAAGAAACATGAGCATTCCCCTGCCCATCACAGCAGAACTGGTACCCCAGAAAGAGTCAGGCAACCAAGACGGAAGTCAGGGGATGAGGATAGTAAAAATCTGAAGCACGAGGCAGATTTTCAGAGAAAACCTACATCGGGTCCACAGGACAGTTCCAGGCACTACAACCATGCAGCTGCTAACCAAAATAGCAATGCAATTTCAAACATCAGAAAGGAATTTATGCCCAAATGGAAAAAACCGTCAGATGCCTCAGCATTTGAAAGAACTGCTAAATATGCCTTTGAAGGCAAAAGTCACTCAGTGTATCCCACTCCTACAGTTGCCATCCCAAGTTCTGCTGAGACCCGAATGTCAAACTCAAGGCAAAAGATGAAGGTTTTTGATGGCAGTGATGGGAAGCGGGGCTCTAATGCTTCACAGTATGACAATGTGCCTGGAAGTGAAAATGAAAACGGAGTGTCTGTGGAAGAGGCACCAGAGCGGACTCACCCTCACAGTCCAAGAAAGCATGCTGAGCCAAGTTCCAGTCCATCAAAAGTACCCAGCAAGTTCACTTTTAAAGGGCAGCCTCCCAGCCATGTAAGATACCCATCCCAGTTAGAAGGAGAGGATCACAGGGCTGCGTATCCACCCTCCTACAGCAACCCCCCTGTTTACCATGGAAATTCTCCAAAACACCTCCCTGTTGCCCACAGTGGCTTTGTGTCCCCACAGATCAGCCCTGGGACTCAAATTAATCTTTCCAGGAGACCATATGGTTCTTCTCTTTCAGTTGATATTTCTCCAGAGAAATCTTATAGCCGCCCAACTCCTGTTGTTCTGCCATCTAGTCGAATTGAAGTTCTTCCCATTGACATTGGTGCTGGGGGATATGCAGGCAGTTCAGGGTCACCAAAGAATGGAAAGTTCATCCTTCCTCCAGTGGATTATTTACCAGAGAGCAGAAAATGGTCAGAAGTTAGTTATTCATACAGACCTGAGATGCACGGACAATCATGGACTCGAGATGCTAGCCGGAGCCACTTCAGCAATTTACCAAAATACGCAGCCTTTCAACACCTACCTTTTCAGGACCATGGTCTTCCAGAAGTGTCTGTAGACAGTCCAGTGAGGTATAAAACTTCACCAGCTGTGGAAGATGCCAGTCCTCCTGGGTATCAATATACAGGTCCCTCACCTCCAGCACATCACTACAGAAACAGAGAGGGACTTTCTATTCAAGAATCAGTGTTGCTGTGAGAGTTTGGCTGTATTCACTGCAGACAAAAGAATAGAAACCATACGATAACCACATTGCTATGTTTATAATTGCCAAAGCAGTATTTTATACTATTGTAAAACAACTCGTGCAGTTCCAGTGTGTGTCCGTAAAAGAATGTGTGGAAATGCTTCATCCCCATGTAGATGCTGCTAAAGATGAGTGTTCCAGTTGCATCGTCGCCGAAACTTGAGTAGGAGAATAACCTGGAGACCTAGCAATAGCATTTAGGGATGCACACACAGTGAGGTTCTTTATGTTGTTTCATTTGTATCTTTCCTTCAGACTTGGATGTTTTCACTCTGAGATACATTCTGTTCTGGCTTCTGTTAGAAAGCACCAAGACACCATAGAGACAGATGTTCTGAAGGCTGTCCCTCATTTTTTAATAGACATGACAAGCACCCGTGCATACAGATTTTGATCACAGAATTTAGAAATGCTTTTGAAAACTACCTTTAATCTAGATCATGAAATAACTATGTTTTCCCCACCTTATCTTTCTGCCCTCTCTGCCCTTGTTATACTTTAGGGTTCTAAACTGAAAGTGACTTAAAAAATTTGTCCTGACTTTATGAATCCTACATCTCACAGAATGTCATTCTCCTTCAGTTACTGCTATTTTATTTCTACCTTAAAATTAAAGACACTGGGGAGAAAGGCTAACCACTTAATGGTGCTTAAAATATGGATCAGTTAGCTTGAGTGTGTGGCTGTGACACTGTACTTACTGTGTCCTCTTAACCTTCAGCTGTCTCAGTGCCCTGTTCCCTTGGCTCTGGTCTGGCCCTTGCACCAGGTGCAAGGGACTGGCCATAGAAGGAGTCGGAAGTCACAGACCTTGTAGTACTCTGGGCAGTGGAAGGTTGCTTTTCAAGTTCATTTTAAAGCAGCATTAACCATAATGCTACTCCGCTCTCAGCTTCAGTTTCACAGGGCCCCAGGGGAACCATTCCCATGGCCTTTTTCTGGCACTCAGCCTTTACTGAGTATTGTGGATGGATATTGATTGCTATACTTACTGGGCCATTACATTATCCTCGTCAAAATTGTGAAAAATACCCTAATTATTAATAAGCATCTAGAATTTTGATCTTTATAAAAAATACATAATGTTTCATAGTTTTTGAGAAATTTTTCAATGAAAAAATAATTGAGGTTCATGGTTAAAAAAAATTAAAATATGCTATCATACACTACTGTTACCAAGACACTAATGAAATGCTGGGTTCTCCAAGAGAGGGTGCCTCTGTCTATGTGGATGCCCATCGCATCGTTATCTTCTTGTATCTGAATATCAGAAAGTAGAAAGTCCAACAGTGATGGTCCCCCTCCTGCACGTTGGGGATTTAAGCATTTAAGGTACAAGAATATATCTTAAGATTAAAGTAACATTTGTTTAGTTAGCGAACGTGACAATATTTTTTATGTATATAATGATTCTAATGTAATTTAATCAACGTGGTAATGATGTTATTAAGTGTGGAAACAAATGCAGTATATTAAAGGTGAACACCACACTGAAACGCCAACTCCTGAAAACATAACCAGGCTCTTGATTTAGATCATGTTGAAGGTGAGAAATAAATGTATGTAGAAATGTAGTTGAGGATATTAATTACAGTTCTTAAAGTATGACTCTGTGACTTATAAGGACCAAGCTGTACAATTTAGTTTGTGATGGCAGTATCTGTGCCTCTCCAGAAAGTATATATCATAGTGGTATAAATAATGTAGATTATATATATATATATGCAATATATATATACACACACTATTTTCTTATGTCATTTATGGCATTTTTATCTGTATACTTTTTGATGTGATTGTTTTTAACATGCTAAAAGTAACACACATATTTTGTTCTGTGTCTTCTATGTGCAGTTTTCACGTGGCAGGGGCTTTGTCCTGGTGCTTACAGGGACAAGCAGATGTCTTCTGTTGCGTTTCACATTTGCTGCAGTTCTCTGCTCTCTGCGCCAGTGAGACCAATGTTTAGAACCACAGCACCTCTCCTTGGTTTAAGTATTACTAATGGCAATAAGATCTTCCCCACTAGAAAATGTGTCTCTGTTGTCTTTTAAGTAGGAAATTTTAATTTAAAATTATTTTGCCATTATAAATTTTATTTTAAATTTATTTCTAAATAAAAGAAATGATAAGAGAAATAATATTGGCAAAGTGATTCAAAATGTATGTATAGAATACACTTGCTGAGGACATTCCAGGCAGAGCAGCCACTTCTGTAACTGTGTGCCAGTAAGGTATGTGCCACGGTGAAGTCTTCCTTCATGTTTTCCTTGCCCAGCAAGATGAGCGAGCATTGGTTCCCCAAGAATGAGTTCTGCTGATCTTTAGACTTAACTAGTGAGCTTCAGGTTTTGCTTTTACTTCTGTTTTTTTCCTGCTCCTCTCACCCCAGACCACTTAATTCCTATCTTGGATAGAACCCAGGTATCAGATAACTGTATTTCCCTGTGTCTTAATGCCTTTATCTTGAAACTCTCTTTAAGAAAAATGTCCACCAACCATGTTGTCTTATGTTCCCATTGTGGGATATTATGGTTCGTTGTTATTTTTGTCTTTGAAGACGGTCTTGCTATGCATTCTGCTTGACCTGAAACTTCTTTGTATACCAGGCTAACCCTGAAATGGAGGTCGTCTTCCTGCATTAGCCTCCAAAGTGATGAGGTCACAGGCCATGTGCCTCCATCTTATTCAGCACAGGGCTTTGGCTGTGTGGGTGTTGTTGGAGTGGTGGGGATTGAATACGTGGTCTCAAATGCAAACCCTGCTGGTGAACCTGCTTTGAAATGCTGTGAGGTCAGGAGTTTCAGTTTAAAAAGTGATGCTAGGAAAAAGTCCCCTGGCAACAACAGCATTATCCGTAGTCTGTGAATTTTGTGAACTTTTCTAGTCACAGCTGAATAGCTTCAAGGAAAGAGGTGGGACCCTCTCCCTTCCTTCCTGACTGCTTACCCCACTCCTTCACAGTAGAGCCTGAAGACTGCCATTTTCCTTCAGGGTCCTACTTTTCAAAGCCTCTGCTATTTAAAGATCTAAGCCACGAGAAAACCCTGCTCTAGCTTCATTTGACCAGTCAACACTGGAGCAGTTAGAACTCAGGGACTGTGTTTTCAAACTTGAGAACATGAAAGGATTCTTTTCAGTGCACACATTATCCTGAATACTTGCCACCTTTACAGTCTTACTAAATCTTCTAATGTGTGAGCATGCATTGTCTGTCTGTTTTCAGCTGTAATTTCAGTGTTTTCTGGGTTTGATGTGGTGTTTTTTGTTTTTTTTTTTTTTTCTAGAACTTCTTTTCTAGAACTGTTGCTGTTTTATTCTGTGTCATCGAGTTATTTTCTTCAGACCCTGTTCCCTGAAACCTGCTCTACCACTGAAGGAGAGGAAGGGTCAGGGCTAGGGTGTTGGGGGAGTTGGAGATTTGGGGCCCTCATCCCATCAAAAGAATTATTGAGTCCATTTCAGTTTAGTGACAGCAACTTGTGTTGTGACATGTGGGATTTGAGGATGGGGGTTGATATTTGCCATCATCTGGTAGACATGAGGTTATTCCAGAGAGAATTGGAACTTTGCCAGCATGAGAGAACAAAAGTCACCAGAGAGTGCATGCCCTGGAGAAGATGGTAGAGCAAAGCAGTCACCCACTTAGCAGAGTTACCTGTAAGAAATGGCCACAGTGTTCTGTGCATCTGTCAGTCGGGCTGTGTGGGCTGGAGGCTGTTAGATCTGCATGGTAGGCTGAGTTTCCTCTTCAGTGGTTGTGTGACATTGGGAAAGTCCCATTCCCTTTCCTGTCCTCACTGTCTTCAGCTGTACCATATGGATATTTGAGAGGTATGGGTGGAAGAGAAAAGAGCCATGATTTGATTATTTGTGTGTGACTGGAGTTAATAGTGATAGTGGTTTGAGTTTCCTGTCTGTGCCAGCTGCTATGCTAAGTCCTGGTAGAAACTGTGATGGTGCAGTCAGTCCCTTTATGGGGCTTCCATTCTAACCTACTTCTTCACCCATAAACTGAAAGGGTTTTGTTTTCCTATTTCCTAGCATTGAGTCGATTGGTCTAAAGTGCTTGGTGCAGTGTCACAAACGAATACCATGTTGTTATCTGTGATTACATGCCAACATACCACTAAACTTTAGTGGTCAGGAGGGATTTGACCTTGCTTCCATGGGGTTGAGAATCTAGTGAGAACCCCAGAGGTAAAGGCTGTCAACTTGCATGTGCTATAAGAGGAAAAACATGGTTGACACTTGAGATGGTGTCAGCCTCTCACCAATGGTGGTGGTATAAAATGCATCAGATATGTATGCCCTTTGATGCTGGGCTGAAAAGTCTGTTTGAATTTGACCAGGAGGAGTGCTTGCTGGCCTGCTGTCTTCCTAGAGCCACCATCAGATCACAGCATTGGCAAGCACAAACAGGAGGTGGCAAGCCTCTTAAAAGGTTTGGATGAGATGGGATGGACAGTTACTGAAATGAAGGATGAGGTAAGCCAGGAACAGAGGAGGAATGTGGTGGAAGACAATGGAGAGATTGCCTGCAGCATGCTCAAGGATCTTTCTCTATGGGTTGCCCCTTGCTTCTGGTCCAGTTCCTTCTTGTACTCAGAAGTATTAAACACTGATAATTAAGCCTTCTGTAATGCAGACTTGACTTTATTTAGAGGAAATCACCATCAGAATACAAAGCAGGCACCATGGAGCAGATTACATGCGAGCATCAACTTGGTAGAGCAGCTGCTTAAATGCTGCCACCGTGAGTGGCACACAAGGCGAATGTGACAAGGAAAGGGCACATGTGTGTGAGTGGGAGAGAGGAACTCTTCCACACGCTAAATATAAGGCAGCAGCAAGCAGTGGCTTGCCAACAGCTGGGGCCGTCTTAAGGGAGTTAATGAGCTCTGCCACTGATCTGTGGCTGCACTATTGGCAGGTGACTGAGCCCGTCTGGGACTCAGTTTTCAGATGTATGCACAGTGGCAAACAGAAAATTGGGAGTCTGAACATAGTTCTTTCTGCTCCACAGTGTGAGGGGAGGGTGCCCCCACTCTAGGCTGCTTGCCTCCTCTGCAGGGACCTTGAGTGTCAAGGTGAGTGGGAAGACCCTCTTTGGGGAGCAGATAGTAGTGGGGAAGACATGTGTTTACCTACTTCTGTGGCAAGGACCCTGAAGGAGTGGTGCCCAGAGCCACGAGTGCCATAAAGTAATCACCTTGGCCCAAAGGTGACTCTCAAGAGGAAAGATGGGACTTGAAGTGGCTGTATGTTGGGAGTAGCTATGAGAACAGGCAGAGGGAACATTTACAGCCACGAGAGGCCAGACAGCTATCGAGTGCTGATGTGGGTGAAAACGGCTGATGCTGAGAATGTGAAGACAGATTTACCGTAGCAACATGAATAATGGTGCCCAAGAATAGCACCATTAGTGTAGTCATTTTTGAGGAGGAGTCTCGGGGGTCCTCTGCATTTGTCAGTTTGGTACAGTGGCGTAGAGGCCATTAAGTCTGGACAGTAGCTTGAATCTGGCACTTAGTAGCATGCCTCTGGGCAAACTACATTTCCTTTCATGGCCTCATTTCCCTCTGCTGCCAAATGTATGATAGGACAAATCAGGGGAGACCATGGGCCTCAGCCTTAGCTGGAAACAGTCTTGAAGGGCTTCCATTGTCCGTGCCCAGCCCAGTGAAGTCAACCTCTGGGAGGAGGGCCCAAGAATTGACTTTTGTTGGTTGGTTTGTTTTTAAGTTAATCAGTGATACCACACAACATTTTGTGATTTAATAATCTAATCCATAAAACCTAAATTGTTCTTGTAATACAATTGTATGAGAATATTCTGCAGGAAACTGGAGAGACCCTTGGGCTTTGAACCCTTGGTGAGAAACCACAAATGGTATGCCAGAGTTGACAAGAAAGCAATTTGGCCCTTGGAGAAAGAAAGATGTCCCTCCCTTAGTTTTCTTTCCAAATTCTTCTGCTCCCATATCTTGCTTCTGTTAGTACCAGGGAGCCACCTTATAATCCTTTAAGAGAATTTTTATGTGGCTATTTGGAGTGATGATACTGAGAACTGGAGCGTGGAAACAAACATGCGAGTTTCTGCTTTCCCACAGCCTTGCTGGACTTGGGCTCAGGAGTAGAACGGGGAAGTGAGACCTGTCTCATGTCAGAAGTCAAAGAATGAGAAAGGATGGATGCTCCATTAGGAAAGGGGCTAGGTCACTGACGGTTAAAGGCAGTTTTTCCCACTTAGACTAGCACAATACTCCATGGAAAATGTGCCAATAGTAGCAAAGGAAGACGGACCTACAAGGAATCATGTTACTAAACCTGCCCCAAATTCCCATTTAACAGAAAACTGAAATCTCAGTGATGGCAACAGTGGCATTCCAAAAATGTGAACATTTCTAGCACCAGAATTTACACAGTGCACTATTAGGTCAAGCAATACATTTTTCTTAAAGGATGTTTTGCACTGTTCTTTGCAATAAAACAAAACAATAAAAATAGCCTGGATGTGGATAGATTGTTATGTTACTCTCCTACAAAGGAATAACTCCTGTTTTTAAATGTACTGATAGAAAAACATAATTATTGTTGACTAATGCCGCAAAAAAGTCTTCGTTGGCCCCTTGTTGTTCTGCTAGGACAGTTTTGCCTCAGAAACACAGTGTCAGAGGTAAAAATGGGTTGGAGATGAGAGTGGCTTGGAGACTGAACTGAGCCATCATAAATTTTGAGTAGTTCTGTTTGCAAAAACTTTGGGAGCGAACAGTGAAAAACTGTTAGAATGAATGGACAGGACTTGAGAGGTAGTGAGGGGCAAAAGCTGAAGCTGGGGGGCACAGAGTGGTGTCTGGAGAGATGGTTAAGAGCACTTGCTGCTCTTCCAGAAGACCTGAGTTCAGTTCCCAGCACCCCTATTGGTTGGTTCACAACCACCTGTAACTCCAGTTTCACCTTTTAGCTTCTGAGTGTGCATGCACGTGTGCACACTCACGCATAATACATCTTACGGGGAAAAAACCTTTAAGCTTGATTTGCTTTTAGCATGTTAGAAAGTGATGGCCCATGACCAATATGTTGAAAAGCACAATAGTGATTGTAATGATTTAAAGGCAGATATCTCAAAAATATGAAGACCTTAAAACATGAGTGTCTCAGACCATATGCTTCTCTTCATGCTAAATAAGTCAATGTTGGGCTCCTAAATGAGTGTGTGTCTTGCTTGGTACTGGACAATATGATGGAAACATGTGGTTATAGGAAATTAAATTCTTTAGACAAACCAGATGCTAAGCTTCTGCCCAGAATCAATATGCTGCCTGAAGTCCTAGAGACTAATAAACATACCATAGCTACTAATTTATGGATAGGTTTTTGGAAGTAACTTCAGAAAAGGAATCCAGGTTTGAAGCTACTTTTGAAACGTCAGATGAATTGTGTGAATTTAATCAGAGGCCTGAAAAGGGAAGTGTGACAGCCTAGTGTGATCTATATGAATTACGTCTAAAATAAGCTAACAAGTTGAGGCAGTGAGAACATGGAAGAGATTGTTACCACTGGTTAAAAAAAAAAAAAATCTGGAAGTTTTTTTAAGATAAAAGTTAGATGATGGGCATCAGGGTTAGTCACCTAGATATTTCACATGAGGACAAAGAATCCATAAAGAACCTGGCCCAACCCAGAAAATGTCTCACAGCTTAAAAACTGCTAGAGATCCCTCAAGACACCTCAGGTCACACCCAATGCCACAGGCTCACTTCTGTCTCACTGGTTTCAAGCTAAATGGTCCTTAAAATGTGATCATTACTGATGTGTGTGTATGCACTCACACACCTGTGGGAGTGGGGTACGGGCATGCTTGTGGAAGTCAGGACAGCCTATCCCTTCACTGGGTAAGCCAGACTAATTGGCCCATGTGCTCTGGAGATTGTCCTGCCTCAGCCAATTGGCGAGAGCCATCTCTCGCCAATGGCTTGCTGGGATTTCAGGCGCTTGTGCTGTTGCCTTCAGCTCTTGTGTGGGTTGTGGGGATAGGAACACAGGTCATCAGGATTGTACAGCCAGTGCATTTTACCCACTAGGCTATTTCTGCAGCCCAGCTCCAGGACTGTTCAGGAGCCATGTTTCACCTTTCTCAACTGACCAGACAGAATTCTCTGAGGAACAAAGGATTTATTAGGGCTTGTAGTTTTCGAGGGTGTGGCCATCGTAGTGGGGAAGGAATAGCAGAGGTCATGGCTGTGGAAGCATGTGGCAGGGATTGCTGGACTTCAGTGGACCAGGAAACAGATCTCTGGGTTGTATGCCTGCCTCCCATTTCCTCCCATTAGACCTTGCCTCCTGAAGGTTCCATAACCTATGACAGCACTGCCAGCTGAGAACCAAGTGTTCAAACATCAGCCTACAGGTGGCATTTCACATTCAGACTACAGCACCAGCTCCTGCTTCATCTCTAGGCAGATTTAAAACAGTGACTATTTAACATGCCCCTGCCCCAAGCCTAAGACCAGAAGCCAGATAATGTAAAACCAGTCAGGAATATTCTAGAAGTGGTATTTTTTTCTAGTTATTAAGACTGGAAAATGCTCAACTAAACTCAGGGCTCAATGGCATGGCTGTAGATTGGCTTGTGACCAAGCCTTTCCCCAGGCTCAGGGCCTCCTGAGGACAAAGCATCTCTTTAGAAGGCAGTTAGGAAAGTTCTTGAGGGAACAGTGTAAATCATTGCCTTTGGGGGATTCTTGGGGCGGCTTCCAGGAAGTGCAGGTAGTGTGTGCTGACATTTTCTCAATGCACCATTTTCCTTCCTAACTTGCATCTGGATAGGGTAAATTATTAAAGCAAGAGTTCCTGGGTGGACAGCACCCACGCTATGTTTACTTCTCTGTGTATTTCCACAGGAAAGGGAGATAATGAAATTTAGCTTAACCAAGCTGTGGGCTGGAAGTTATAACCTACCTAATTCCTTAATTAAGCTATCAATTAAGCCTGTGTCTATGCCACCTGCTATGCCTGGGCCTCGTGCCATGTAGAAGTGCCAACACTGACAAGCTTGTCCCCACAGAACCCCAGGGCTCCAGTCAATCTTCAGTCTTTCTCTCCTGACTTTCTCTTAAGGGATATTTTAGATAGGTCACCTAATTCATTCATAATGCATGTGAGGTTACAGAATGTTCAAAACAACCAGCAGACTTGAGGACTCCCAGCTTCCCCAAAGAGAGCATTTTGTGTTGACTGTACAGCAGCCAGCCACTTTTTTTGCCCCAAGTGTCCCAAGTTTCAATTCCGAAGGGCAGCTCTAGGTCAAGAGCTTGAGAAGAAAGAAATGAAGTCAAAGATGGGGGAGGGCATTGCAAATTGATTTTTGACACCTAGATGAGTGTTCAGTAGCATTTGTTGAATGAATGAATGAATGAATGCATGAATGAATGAAAACAAAAGAAAAAGCTATTATGTGTTAAGCATGGGTGTCACTAAATACTTCAGTTTTATAGGACTCATTTCAATATACAGGAAACCTGCTAATGTACATGTCATGGTCCTTCCTAAGAGGGAAAAGGGACACTCCTTTTGTGGGATCAGAGCTAGTCTCAGGTTGCAGAGCTCATAGCTATGGTTGACTCCGG